AAACACCGATGCACGCAGTTTCTTCACCTCAGTCGCACTAGTTTCGATCTTGTCTTCCATTTTTCATCATAATCTGGATTACCCGAAATTATGTGAACGGTGCCTTTAACAGTGCCACCTTGAACCGCGAGAAATCACGTCTTGCGAAGCAATAACAAATTCGATGGCCATGTTGTGGGAAGCAGCAGTTCTCAGTTCAGTGACGTTTTTGCTCCAAAGATACCTCGCTCTATATTTGCCGTCTTATGTTCATTTGCAAGTCTGTCTCTGTTTTCCTCCATATTCTACTGCAGAAGATTTGGCGCATTCTATTCGTTTTCAATCCGCACTTCATCAACTTCACAGTCTCTGGAATTCGAAATGCTTGAGTGTTCCCTCTCGCTTTCACAGTACCCGGTTTTAGAGGCTTTCTGGCTGATAAATAGCATTATCAGATTCAGTTCCATGTACGGCTTTCTATGAACCTCGGCATAATTGTATCATTGAAATTGCATTATCAGACATTCGACCCATACCGTAAGCGTGAGGGATGCTGCAGTAGTAGTCGTTGACTGGTTTCCCCGACCTTCTCTGTAATCTTGTCTAACGATTTTCCGCCATTTGCTTGTGTAAAATCCTTACTCAGATGAGGCCCAGTCTAGTTTGGAATGAGCTGCGTTTCTCTAGACTCCTCGAAAAAACTAACTTCATTGTAATTTGGTCATCTTTTTACTAATATACAAGCTCATGTGAACCTTATCAAGAACTATTTAGGATTATCAGTCGCAAATGTTTGTACATTCAACGTCCAGGTGTTGTAGGGATGAACAAATTTGAGAGGAACACAATGGAAGCTGACTTGCACTGGTTTTATGTGCTCAGCTAAGGTATGAAATATATTACATGCGATATCACAGCTATCGCTTTTTTCTATTTTCGAACATCAAATATTCCTGCGAAGTGTGCTGACCCTATTGAAGTCGATAATGCATGATTCAATACTTGTTCACGTTTTTTATTTCTAGTCGATTAACAAATTACCACATTCGCACATTTTGAACTCATTTCGTATTTTACCAATTAATATAGAAGAAACTAGATCTAACACGGTTCGGACTGGCTGTGTTTTTTGCATCCGTCACTTTTGTTGTGGTCACTTTTCTATGTTCATCGGTCATTCGTTGATCACCTTCTTGGCCGGGAGGGGTATTCGGCTGCTTTCATAGTGCGCCGGCTAGCCCACGAGCCCCGACTCCCGACTACTCGTTCTGCGGTATCGATCAAGGCTCAGTTGTAAACAAGCGCAAAGCGCCGCCCCCGGCCACCGGCCGGCGGACTATGAAAGCAGTCTTCTAAGGGGGTGTGTGTACATTCGTGCGATTCGGACTGCGCGCGGCGAATTGCGCGGCGAAATTCATAGCGATCCTGACGACCTTAGCGCTTACTATTAAGGCCCAAATTTGAAGTAAAGTAGATTAGTAGGATCAGGTGGTCATACTAATCTACTCCAAGTTTGTGCTCCAATAATAGGCGCCAGGGTCGTTCAAACGGTCGCGAATTCCGCCGCGCAATTTGCCGCGCGCAGCTCGAATCGCACGAATGTACCGGGGTGTGTTGCGATTCGTGCGATTCTGGGTGCGCGCGGCGAATTGCGCGACGAAATTCGGTGCAATTTGGGCGACTACAGCGTTTATCATTGGGGCCCAAACTCAAAGTAAACTAGGTCAGTAGGGTCATCCGAACCTTCTAAAAAGCTCTACTTCAAGTTTGTGCCCCAGTGATAGGCGCCGAAGCTGTTTGAATCATCGCAGATTTCGCCGCGCACGCCCAGAATCGCACGAATTGCACGTACCCCAATGTACCGTCTCCCCTTTTGGGGGGCTCCCGCAATGTCTGCAATTGCGTACAACACACCCGATCAGCTAATTTCACTTTCTTTGCTGATCAGATTTACTCTCCTGGTGATATTTTGTTGCACTTGGCTATTCTTCTGCATTTCAAGTTCACTGGATCGAAAGGGTAAGTAAGGATCCTCGCTATCGATGCTTTTACGATAGAATGTATGTATATTTAACCGGTGAAAATATAGTTGACCAGCGACAGTTGATGGAATTTCTCCCCGAATTCCCACGGTCAGCGGCAGCGGTTCCGGGGCGACTGTCGTATCCTTTCACTGGGAATTCAAATCTTTCCCTTCACAGCGCGCGATCGCGTGCGGTGAGAGCGACACGATGTGTCTCCCCCACTGGCGCGGTCTCTATGCACTCTGTGGTCTGATGTCATAGACGCGGAGCAAAGAGCTTCGATTAGATTTCACGGTCAGCCTAGCGGAGGTGTGTTTCCCCATATGATATTAGAGAGTGCCTCGAACTCATATTGTGTGGAAAACTCAGAATCCATTTTTTATCGTGAATCGTACCTTTAAAATTCGTTGAAATGCGGACGCAACTACTTTTCTAATGGTTAACATATGATGTCGAATCGAAGAGGTTTTTCATTGTGGGCATCTCCTTTTTTTAAAATATCGAATCAAAAGGCATGCGAAACCATTAGTATCGTTTTGTGGAACCACTGAAGCTCGAATCACTCGTAACCCCAATCCTCTTGTGTTGCTATGTTTGTTGACGCTGTAAGCATTCTCCAGAAGCAGGGCTACTGCTTCAAAAGTTCTTCCCAAGGCGGATCTGGTCTGCCGATATCTTGGGTCCGGTATAGCTTAGAGATTGACGTTTAGCTGAAATCAATCATTCAACCTACACGATATGGATAAACATTCACCAAGATCATGAAATCCGGCACATTGAATGCTGGAGCCTGCCACAAATAGCACTCACGACGAGTTTGTAGCGATCCTCTGTTTCTTAGAAAGATCATATGCTGATGAATGCCTCATGCACTCTCATATATCAGTTAACCCTTTCAGCGCCTCATATAGTGAAAGCCAAGCTCTAGCTGGGATTCTCAGAAGATTAATACCTCTCCCTTCACCTACTGCGACAACAAAACTCTGGCTTCTCTACTGATGACCTAACGGCCCATCGTTTCTCCAAACATTTTGAGATCTCAGTCTCATTTGGGAAGTCAGGGAATAGTGAAAACTCAGCATGAGTTTCTGATTCTCCAAATGTGAACATATCAAGGCTAGGGGACCGCATCGCGGAGAACCGCTTACTCGTCACATAAGATGCACTTGCGGAATAAGCAAGAAGAAGTTTAGGCCTCGAATATGGCAGCATTCACTCGTGGATGTAGATCTTGACCTTTTATCCAACTGCTAAACGAGTTTACTGGCAAAAACATTTCAAGCAGCAGAGATAATCTTCAAAGCTATCTCTTTTGTGAGTTTAGATCTCTATCATTCTCCATCATTATCGAGTAGAGTGTAGTTGTTAATCTTTTCTCCTATGCGGTTGTACGTTCTTTTCCTGATCGTCATCGTTAGCTCTCTGAAACAGGTCAGTTTCGCCATCCCAGTTCATCATTTGAGATGCGCTTCACTAGAAGGTTGGTTTATTCCAGCAATATCGAGGACTGTCGAAGCATGGCAGTGGCAGAAATAGAGCGCTCCACAGAACACGGAACTCCTCTCATAGTGCGTCTAGTTTCCCTTTTTCATTCATCAGAAATCTTTCTTGAAATGTTCCAACTTTCACCCCGCTCTTATGTTTCGTATGTCAAGTCAGCTCGAGCGATGAAGTTGGTGATCACTCGACCATCCTGGAGCATAAATAGCGTTAAGGCTCACCTTGTCGCAGCGCCCGTTTTTTCATCTTCTGAAGGCACAGTTCGCGTATAGGTAGTTTCTGTTTTAGAGACTCCGTTACATCGACAAACTTTGCCAACTTTCCTCAGTGAGCCAATAGAGAGAAGTCGCCACCCGACATTCGAAGACATTGTGAGAGAAAGATTGGCAGCTGCTCGAAAAGAAAAGCATTTACAAAAGAAGGAGGATGATACGATTTTGGCTCGAAAAGTGAGACAGTCACAAAAGAAGAAGGATGATGCGACTTCGACTCAAAAAGCAAAGCAGTCACAAAAGAAAAAGGATGATGCGACTTCGACTCAAAAAGGAAAGCAGTCACAAAAGAAAAAGGAAGGTGCGACTTCGACTCAAAAAGCAAAGCAGCTACAAACGAAGAAGGATGAGGCGACCTCGACTCGGGAAGCAAAGCAGTCACAAAAGAAGAAGGATGAGGCGACTTCGGACGCTCCTTCTACTCAAACTTCTACCGATTCCGAAGAAATAGGGGATCCATCTCGTTCAGAGTAAGATGGTTCCATTCAATTTTTCGTTTTACCCACTACCAGTGCAGTGCTCTGTTTCTGCTTTTTCTACTTAGTTGCGTCAAATTAGCTCCCGAAGTAGTTGAGTGCATTCCTTTTCTTGTTTGCGTGATGGGAATGGGTTTCTATTCGTATTTGGTGCCCGCTTAGGTGATCTAACTGTTAGGTTGATGCATAATTATTGCGGGTTTTTTTCGGCAAATTTTACTTGAAGAAACTATAGAAATATCTAGCAAAGGCATGTTCAAATAATTGCTCCGGAACATACACACCATCTACGTCAGGCATTGCTTCTCATTTGCTGGTGCGGATTCCACAGGCGAGGAATTTTCGATTCCTGGAGGCGATCACGCCTTGACGTTGGCCATCAAGCCGCCCATTTCAGCCAAGTTGTGTCCGTTAACCAATTTTTCAAAAGGCGATTGACGTGGTAATCCATAACAGTATCTGTTGGTGAATGGGACGACCGCAGAAGCAGATTCCATTCCTTGTTCGGCTTTGGCCGACTGTTACATCGCCGTGAAGTTCGCTGAGATCACGTCATGAGTGGGCCGCCTTCCAACATTTCTCGAAGCAATAGAGCATAATTTGGCATATATGAAGATGACTTCCTATACATATTTCCGTTAAGGAAAGCGAGAAGACTATTTCTACAAAAATCCCGAATTTAAAAGTTTAATTTTATCGAGAGAAAAGAAGCCGCGAAAAATCCGTTATAATTATGCATCAACCTAATACAATGCTATGATCACATTAATTCAATAAACTGCAGTCAAATGAAAGTAAAGCTTGGTTCAAAACAAAAGGTGGGAAGAACTTAATGAGATGTGTAGAAAAAATGAACCTAAGCGAAATGCACTACACGAAGGGTAGATGGGTACTAAGAGCTGTATAATGGTTAAAGGCACAGTCCACGATAATTTTGGGGCACCCGTTTTTATTCAAAAAGCGGAAGTTTATGTTGGGAATAGTTCAGTGAAGCGAAATGGGTAGTGAAGAAAGCGAGAAGATGTGCCAATTTTGAGGAAAATAAGGTTCCTCAAAAGCAGGGTAACTTTAGGTTGGACGAAATTACCATGGAACTAACATAGAAGCGATATTCGGACGAGATTTCAGTTGTTGCGGTTGCGCAAAAAACTGACTACATCAAGCCAGGACTGAACAGAACTGTCTTTCACTGTCGTTATGGGTCATGACAGGTCGCTCAAGCGACCTCTTACGTGGGCTGTGAATGGTGCAGCCTCTGCAATGCCGATGAAGCTCGTCCGAGGATACATACGCTGCAATCTTTAAGCCTTTACAACGCCCTAACTAGGCCGCTTTCCGACCTGATTGCGCCAGATATGGTATAAGAGGGGCCTCAAATTCATCATATGGTAATCTCGGATCATTTTTATCGTTAACTAAGCCTTTAATAAGCATCCACATTCGATTTCATACACGGATGACGCTAGGGATAACATCACTCTCAGACAAACATTAGTATACCTGTGGAATCGAATGGCATATTTTTGGATGTTAGAATTTTTGGATTCTGCCCCTAACAATTCAGTCTCCGACCCGCCTTTGCGATCATCACAGCCTCAGAAGAATCATTCGGTTGTGAAATGAGAAAATGTAGTGGAAGGAAAAATCCAGTCCTAATGCACGGGGACTCATGACTAATCCTAATAATCGTCCTCACTCGAGGCTTATCACCTAATGAAAAAAGTCTGGTGCACATATAAAAAATTCCGTCGAAAAATAACAATTCTTCTTATATATAAAGCAGTAACTTGGTTTGTCGGTTTGTCGGTATGTCGGTTTGTCGGTCTCTCCGTCCGGGTTACTTTGTGATTATGATAAAGGTAGTGATATGGAAAACTCACCCTTCTTATGATAATACAGTCAAATTGTGCGTAGGTTAATGGAGTAAAGTGAGCACTACGGAGTGAAGTGAGTAATATGGGTATTTCAAACTGTGATTTCTACTGAACTGTACTGACAGTACTTCGACACTGTTACTTCGTTTGATAGTGGCATGGTATTGTGTTTGTCTATGCAGTATTTGGAATTCGGCTACCACATTCATTTTTCTTTCTTAATTGCCTGTCCTTCTCATACCAATCTAGCAAACCGCAGTGAAATTCCCTTCTGCCCTACGGCGAAGTGGGACCGATCGTCTGGCTCGTCACTTTCTTTTAATTTATTTAGCGCATGAGCGTAGACAACTCCATACATTAGCTACATTGGTTGTGTTTCTGCTGAGCTCTCCTTCATCAATACTGCTCCTTCCCCTCAGCGTTTTGCAAAAAATATCATCTGCTCCGGATCTTAACAGCTGATAGTCAAGCTCTTTTCTTTGCCAGCTTTAGTGGCACAGCGGCTTCTCTCTGGCTGACCAACCTGTTTGGTCACTATCAAAGCCCATGACCCATCCTGCCGATTTCCACATTTTGGTGGTCGGATTGATTTTGTTGCAACGGATATCTAAAATGCAGAGAAAACGGGATACCTTAACGAGTCACAAACATCCTACTTTATATAATTCGCTAAGTTATCTGACCGGAAATTCATAACTCCTGTCCCCGTGGACCTAGAGCGTTCAAACTTGGAAGGGGCACAGATAGGATGCGAACACTTACGGTAAGTGGCAGGACCGGACTCCGTTCACAGGGAGAGCGGCGTGCGCGCTAGAAATGGGCCACAAATTCATCAGTCCTCTCCCCATGAACCTAGAGCGTTCAAACTTAGTAGGAGTACGGGGGGGGCAAGAGGAGAACATTTATGGTTGGTGGCAGGACCGGACTCCACTCACAGGGGCGGGGCGTTCACAACAAAAATTTTAGGTGGCGAATTCATAACTCCTAACTCCGTGGACCCAGAGCATTCAAGCTTGGTAGGAGCACAGGCGACAGGACGCGAACACTGATGATATGTGAAAGAGGTGATAAGCATTGAAGGAGTCGGTGAAGCATCTCAGAAGGCGAGAGCCGCAGGATTCATTACCTCCTTCGTACTAACGGTGGAGCATCGGTACTTTAGTAAGGGATATGGATTAAGAAGGGACCATAGATGTTCAGCGATAATGATTGATAACAACTGTTAGAGTAACGAGCCATAGAAGACGGGAGTCATTAGGTCTACAACGTCTTTCATATTAACGGTGGAACACTCGAATAGGTGATGTAGAATATGAAGGGACCGAAGGTGATTGGTGACAAGGACTGATAACAAACGAGCAAAGGTGACAAAGAGCCTATATAGAAGGCTAGAGCGAATAGGTTGTTTATTCCCTTCATGTCAACAGTCATACCTCGGTATTCAAACATCGTTCTTTGAATTTTTCGTTCAATAAGATGATAGATGCAGTGATAGGAACTGATCATAGGCAATTCTCCATAACGATATGAAAATTTGGTTATTTTCCGTTGTTGGACTACGACCGCCATCCAGCAAGGTTCTGACTCAATAACACATCAAGTTTCCTTTTTTTCGATATTTTTTGTGATTAAACCCATCCGACCGCCAATGATCTGGGATTCCCAGTAAGTGATAACCGTAGCGAAGAAAACTTCGCTGATAACCAAATCTGATAATGTGCGGCATTATCACTCGACAACATTTGAGAGTACCATTCATTACTTCAATTGTCAGTTAGTTCGGCCATCATCGGGGCATGTCAAGGGAAAAATTCCTTCAATTCAACATTTCTCGGGATAGGGTGTTTGACACAAGAAGGAAATTATCTGGGTGATCCGATTGGTCACACAAAAAGCAGGTTATGACGCAATGGAAAAGAAATCGGAACTCTAGCAGCGGACCCTTCTTTTCGCCATGATTCAGCCAAGTTTGAAGATTATCGCAAGCATCAGGAGAAAGAAGCTACAAGCAAAATGCTGAGAGATAATTTCCTGAGTAGATAATTTCCACGTATTTCAAAAGAGTCTTCAAGTACCTTGTATTCCAAGGCGTGAAACCAAGTTGATTTTCTTTACCCCATTTGACAACATGGCTATTTCGCATTTGCATTTCGAGTTTCAGCTGGTAACATATGAAAGTAGAGAGTTAGAAGAATAATTATTATTTTAAAAGTAAGCTTCACAATACTGTTTTTCATATGTTCAGGACACTGTAGATAAAACTTGTGAGCGCTTCCCCGACGAAGTCTAAGAATCCATTAAGTTCTTTGCTTCAGCTTCAGTTCCCCTTTCATAGTTTGCAACAAAACACCCCATTGTTTAAGATGCGTCGATAGAAGGCGCTTCGAGTTTGAGTCGATGGAGCTGCCCCCTGTGACCGAGCATACCATCAAGGTAATCTAGATTTGAATAGCATCGATACATCAAAATTCTTGTGAATGTTCGCCGGACCTTCTCTATTTTCACTTGGGCTTCTCCGGTCAGCGGCTATAGATCTTTGACCTATATTCTAAAACTGGAGGATTTCATGAGCCTTGTAACGTTTCATCAAGTTGATGCATCGTTGTGCTGGATGTTCCGGAAGGACATTCGATCCTAAGAGGGGTGGCGACTTAGCCAAGCGTTTCGGCTTTGTCATCGGAAGCAATGAAGCCAGGCGTGAGCCGCGGGATACGGCCGGTGACCTATGCTGCATTAGCGCTGTCGCAATCACCCTGACCTACCTCCTAAGTACCTCTAAGCTCCAGCTTTCGATGAGTTTTATATAATATCTTTATCGATATTTATCTCGTGTATCACCTGTCGTCCCTTTGATCATCAGTCTCTCGATAAGACGCCAGTAGCATCTCGATTAGTCCCTGTCGCGACCAGAGTGGCTCAGCGGGTGTTCCTTCCTTGACATCCCTTCCGTCACAGCTTTCGTGAAGAAGCCTGACTATCGCGTTTTCGGCCGTCCTGGTGTCCGGTTGGCGTCCTGAGGGAATCCATTCACTAAACCCTGGTCCAAAGGTCATCGCAATAAAGCATGACGTGTCCGGCCCACCTGATCTTCGATTACTTGGTGTAAGCAATGACATCTCTGATCTTCCTTCGTTGCCGAACCTCGGAAATCCAGATTCCATTTTGCACTTACGTGTAAAGGGAAATTCTGAGTAGTGTTCATTCCACAGCGCGCGGAATAACGCTCACTGCATCCTCATCCTGCGTTCGAAGAGTCTGTCACTGAGGCGAATCTTTAAAGTAGAGAGGATCACAGTGTCGAAAAGGTAAGCGACGAGCTGGATGTCTTTTGCCTTCTTAAATTCTCCCTCGTATTCTTGAATGTTTCCAACCGGCGCGTTTCCCTCTGCTCAGAATAGTTATTCATGATACTGAATGTCCTACCTAGATACACGTAGCCTGAGCACTCTGGAGTGCTTTCATCGACGTAATGGCGTGTCGAATTTTGGAGTGAATGCTTATAAGCTGAGGCTTTATTGACGTTCCTACCGCATCACCTTCATAAATGCGTCTGTACATACATACCAGGAATATAAGGGAACAAAAACTTTATAGCCTTCCGAACCGTAGGTTAGTCAACTTTTTTTGATAGGGAAAATTCAGATATAAAGCTGGAGACTCGAGAATATTTGCGTTGCGCAAGCAGAAATCGGAAGAAAGTAGCGAAAACGACAAAACTCTCATGTAAGTTTTATTCTAGTCATCAGTTTTACCGGTTTGCCTCTGCTACGCTTCGATACATCACATGCAGCCTTACGAACTGAATTTTCGACCAAATAAGCTACATATGTATTACCCATCAAATGTATCTCTTGGTTTACCAGTGTGTACGTGTTGTGTGTGTATGTCGGTGTGTATAATTCTAATTCGCTAAAACTGCAGGTGATAAGACGAGATCAATGCTAGTAAGTAGCCAAGCTTCAGTGTCCGTGCGACTGGAATGCGCCTGCCGATGTGTGTGCAAAAGCTTCCCACGTGGACCTAGAGCGTTCAATTTTGTGAGGGGTGGAGGTTGAAAAGGGACACTAACCTTTAGATGGGCCCACCCTCAGGGATGAAGCTTGCGCCAAGGTTCTTCTCTTGGATCTAAAGCGTTCAACTTTGATAAGGGTGAAAACACTGGTCGTAGGCGGCAGGACTAAGGGCGGAGCGTGTGGGTATAATAGTGGTAATCTGAGTATATTTATGTTCCCAAGTTGGAATAACTGCGGAATAACGTACTCAGTGGACATGACCCTTATGATGACCTGGACGCTTTGGAGGCGCGTGTTTGTGTCTGTGTGTGTGTGTATGTATACGTGTGATTGTTTGACTGTAAATAAATATGAATCCAAAATATCTGCCCTACTGTACCACCGAATCCGAATTCGGAGAGTACAGCATAGTGTTAGTCGGACAATAAGATCGGTATCCACTGAAACTTTTTTCGACAGCAACTTGCATTACACAGGTTGAGATACCCAGCGTTGACAGTTTGAAACAAGTTCCTCGTTCTGTCTCATGAACAAATAATTTAGCAGAAAAACCACGTTCTGATTTCTTCAAGGAATCCCAAAATGTATGAATCAAAAGAGTATTTATCCGTAATCAATAGTCTAATCCTTCCTTGTAAGTATGGGTTAATATCGAATGTTACTGCTTGACACGATATGTAATAGAGAAATTTTCTTCAACAGGAAATCGAGTGCAGGATAGTAGTTCTTTGCTGACTTCGAAGTAGTGTGTGCCTAATGTCTGTGGCATTAACACGACCGCTGTAGTAACTGACGTCGTCCCGTCAAAAGGGGGAGATGGGCAGTAGGAACGGTTCCCTACAGTCGATTCGCCGTACGTGACTATCGCGTACCATTCCTTCGAAGTCATTACAGCTCTAGCTTCTTCGTACAGCTTAATCGATATGCGATCCTTATTTTGGACTAATTCTGTCATTGGTTCTTTTGTTCCTGTATTTCTTATTTGCTGACGCAGTCTGCTGCAATTCTTCGCGCGCAGCGTCCATCTTGCCGCAACGCGACAATTTCGTTCCTACTGCACCCGTCGAAAAGCTTTTCCATTAGATTTTATAAGTTGCACCATATTTGGAGCAATTTTGTCATCGAAATAATCAGATGCCACTACTTCTGATAACCTCTCAAGCAAGACTACCGTAGAAATGCGCAGTCCATCAGCTGCTGGTTTCAGGATCGCAGCAATAATTGGGGGATCGGTTGCTTTCATTGCGTTGGCTGTTGTCATATTTCTTATCATAATTGTAGTGAGTATCGCAAGGAGTAAGTATCATCTGGGTTGTTCCTTTTTTTGATCTACTCGCTTTTGATTCGGCCTCCAATGTTTCAGAAAAAGCAGGAAAAAAACCGAAAGAGGCGCCCTTAGCGGTACGTTTCAATGCAACTATTTAGTCTTTTCTTTACTGCTTTCGAATGACGTGGTGATAATTTCGGATAGACAACTGAAAAATTTCTGCCTTCAAAAACTTAATATTCCGAGGAAATGCGTCCCAAATTAGGGTACAGTAATCATCTATTGTTTATTACGAAGGTCAATTTTGAAGAAAAATAGTGAAAAAGTCTGTTAAGGGTGCCAACATCTCATTGTTTCGATTCAACTACTTGTTCTTCTTTTGGGGAGGGATTCTTTCGTACTTCAATAATAACATGTCTGCTACACCAGAATTTCTTCAGTGTGACCCAATTTTGCTTGAGCTCTTTTTCTCATGTTTGACGCAGTATTTAAAATTTGCCCAACAAAGACACTAATTTTTCAAGTTAAACAATTCTTACGGCGTTGTAGAAACTGTAGAAGTTGCAGACTAACACTGGGGCGCATCCGTTGCTTGCGGACTGTTTACTGTAGTTAGCCGTGCTCAATAAGACACAATATGGATATGTAGCTCGATCAAACACCCCTTTCATGCAACTTTTGCCGCATTCGCGTCCAACCCCTAACTTTTCCACTTTTTTGAGGCCTGATACTTCTCCAAATACACCACTTTTTGTGTTTCCTTCCCTACTTTTGCAATTCTGACGTTTCCTTTACTCTTGCAAAGCTAGATACTCTAAACTGTCGTAAACTCTGCCTTTAAAGTCACTTTCCATGATGAGTGAGTCAAAGTGTTCATCTGGTCTGCACTTTACTATTAATTGATGAGTAGTATTCTCTAGAGACAATGTGAGTTTGAGGAATAAAAGTTCTCTAGGGATAGAAGCCTATTTAGTCAAATTACCCCTCCCCACGTATTCATCATGATCATGAGTATCGCCTTCGAAACGGCTATCTATGACCTCGCCATATTTTTCAAAAAGTTGAATGATTAAGCTTGGCAGCACTCACCGGTTCAGTTTGTAGTAATGGGAGGACATTTCGAGCTGGTGTCGGCTCTGACGGTCGCTCCGAACGCCGCAATATTACAAAGTGCAAGCTAACGCGTGCACTGTATATCCACGATCGCTTATCTGTGACGGAGTCATTCAGCGGAATATTTGATGTACCAGAATAAGATAGTTCCATATAGATTCGAAGTTGGAACCGCTTTGAGAGCATCGCTTTATACATTTATTTCAGCATAATTATTAATGGTTGATCATAGCCCTGTCTAACTTTGTGCAGACCCCTACTGCAATAACCGTCCGACCATCCCTTTTTCAGCTGCATCTGAACATTTTCTCCGCGTTCTGAAAGACTTTCAAACAGAGTTATGAGTTTCTGATCTGGCCCGGCCCACCTTATACAAACCCTGCCAAACCCAGGGTGAATGCACGCCCCGCCCCGTGTGGGCGTAGTTCCGACATTTTTACGTATGCCCGGCGCGCAGGGAGCCTTGATCACTTCGTTTACTATTTTTCGGCCTAAACAGCCTGAATCGAGTTATGATCTGATTTGGTAAGTACCGCCCATGCGATAATCCTCCGCCCACTGTCGGTGAGTCTCCTTTAGCTTACTTGTCGACCCATCCTTCACCTTCGCCCGTTTATTCCGGCGTCTGGGCTGTTATGAAACCTAATTCAGACATTCTGCACGGGACACCGTCGAGTGTCGTGCATGCCTTGCTCCATTTGGGTTATTTCCACCGAACTCACATGTGCTCGTTTGGTCTTGTCCTACGCAAAACCCATCCAAAGCTTGAACCGACTTTTCCAAGTGCTTCTTCAGTTAATATTGAATTTCCGCACAAACAGACAAACAGATAGACAGACGCAGCGCTCTATATATAGTAAAGATGCTCAACCGAAACTTCCCTAACTATTATTGTTGCGATGGAGTCAATTCAATAGCAACTCCATTTCTGTTATACTTCTGCTCCAGTCAATAAATAGTGAAGTAAAATTACTTAATAACGGATTGAAACGCCTTTTCTATACGGCTACTACATACCACCACTTTCTTGATATATAGCAGCCTCATATGCTATCTTTGATGTACAGAGGCTTTGATGAGTCTTATCCTTTATGGAAATTTTCCTATACATTTCATGTATCTCTCAACCTGCACATATTTTCCAGAAGCAACCACGCAAGATGGAAAGCGAAGACTTGAATAAAGTGAAGTTCCTATCGGCAGGGCCATTAGTGCTAGACCGAAGGCTGGAAGGTCCAGTTGTATGTTCCGAAAACATTTATGCACTATTTATAGAGGGCGGTAGTGTACTGGCGTGTGGAGCACACATGCGCGGTCCGTTGTTAAAAACCCGCATCGATATCTGCTCAGGCCAGTAAAGCCTTCCAAGTCTCCTCGTAGTCAATTAATTGAACCGAACTCATTTGGTAAAATAAAAGCAAAGACTTCACATCGGGTCTGGTATGTTCTCCCCGAACGACATGTCGTGCTCACCGCACGCGATCGCGCGTTGTGAAGGGAAGGATCCGAATTCCCAGCGGAAAATTACCGAGAGTCACCGCGGAGTCATTGCCGCAGGGCTTGGGAGTTCGGGGAGAAGTTCCATCACCCCTTCACCTTGGCTGGTCAGTGTATAGGCCGCATATGCAATCAAGACGATTGCGTAGGCAAATCCCTCAGATGGGGTTGATTGACTCCATAAGCCTCTATCCTCATCCATTACCAGAGAATTTGACTCCTTATTTTCTCACATCGTGCTTCATCGATGTCTATGCATAGTGTAGAAAAATGGGTAACAAAAAAACTGCATCTATCTCAAAACCAGGCTGGATTGTCCTATGCTTCTTAGCTCAATTCATAAGCATGAGAATGTGTCTTCTCTCGTTTTCGTTCTTTTATGCATCCTTCAGAGGCATGCTCTTGAAGACGAACATTCTGAGATACTGAAATGTGTGCAATTCGATTCTGCCCAAAATGAAATAGTTGAAATCGGGTCGAATGTAGAAGTGGTAGAGGTACGTCTCTGCTTTTTCTCGAACTTCAACTGCAAGGAGGAGAGCTGCTCTTTACACCATTTTCTATGTCGTCTGTTTTCGTTCTACAATGCTTTGCATGCATGAATCGTCAAGGTGATCACCTTCAGAAAGTTCTCATTTGATTTTCTCAGGGCTTTATTCAAGTTGCGAAAAAGAGAGTTGTCAGAAAAATCTCCAGTATTCTCGAAAGAGAAGAAAATCAGTAGATTGCAGGCTGATTCAAGACATTGTAACGGGAAACTCAGTTCACTTTAGTAGTTAAGAGACGATTTGGGATCTCCTACAGAAATTAGCCCCTGTCCTCCAGGTAGCCTGGCCTAGGGAAATCTGAGGTCAGCGGAATTAAGGGGTATGGATGAATATGAAACTTGGGATGGCAAGAACCTCTATATCAAGTCAAGAGTAAAGACTTTGGGATATCAGGACAACTATTCAAAAAAGCAACGATGTGCCATTTTTTGCTTGCACGAGGTATTGGGGAGAAAATGACTTAACAACAAAATTAGATCGCTTAATTGTGTAGGTGATACTGATCAATTCTTTGGTTGATGCATAATTTTTTCCACCGCGTGTGATCTTTTCATATTTCGTTTACAAGAATGGTACTCTGCCACCACGTGTGCGTGAGGGTGCATGATACTCTTTCATCACAACAGCTATCACTCGCCCATCTCGCATTCGAAGGGAAACAAGTGGTCGAAGTGGTGCCGCACAGTTTTCACAAGTTCGCAACAGAGAATGAGGTCAGAAAGGCACGCGACCATTTATTCAATGCCTAATTTCGGCCTTGGGGAGGATGGAAGTCGCAAGCTGCCTCAGTGTTTCCATCGAGCAGCGAGTGGTGATGGTGCATTCCTCAAATCTTCAGGCCGGTTCGCTATTGAGATATTTACAAGTCGGAGAAAAATATGTGCATCAACCTAATATTTTTCAATGTACCAAGTGTCCTTGGCGCTTAGCGCCCGTGCTTCGTCTTCATCTATATAGATGACAGAGAGGTGGAAAGAAGCATGGGCCGAGAACCTTCAGTGAAATTTGTTACTCACGACATTACTTTGGAATCGTTCTGACATCTGACGTGGAATTAGACATCAGAAGGAATGAGCATGGCATGTTGTTGTCCGAGGCTGATGCCAAGCTCCCAAAAATTGCATAGCGTATAGAGAGGAGCATAGGTTTCATTTTGGCACTTGAATGTGGTTGTGTGGTCGTGATTCCAAAGTTGACCAAGCAAATCGTGCATCTGAAAAAAGTTTAACCCCACGAGTAGACGAGAACAAGCGCGGTCTGAGCAGTGAAAGAGATAAAGAGCATGGCGCCCGGATAGCACAAGTGCGAGATTCGCGCCCCGCCCGAGGCCTGTTTTGTTCATAACTAACCAACTTTGTGAAGCGGATCGCGTACTGCGGCGATATAACAGTAGTTAACAATTATATCAAGGCTATATCCATCCGTCATGGACCCTCTTTCTTTATTACATATGGTTGGCATGGTGACAACTAAAATTATTTAAAAAAAAAACACGCTATAAAACAGTAGTAAGTAAAAAATGTTGCCAGATGAAATACGGAGAACATGATACTATGCTAATGAACGGCACGCAGATAATGAGATACCTTGCTTTCAAATGCGGAAAGGAATAATGGTTTTGGGTGCCCTTTGGTAGCACGGTGTACCGCAAACATTTACATTTTTAGAATTTATTTTCTTTTTCAGAGTGATGGAATTAGTACGGATACAACAGATATGGGAAATAACGAAGCTCGTCCGAAGGTGACTGCGTCTTCAGTTAAAATTTATTCAATTCTCATTTACTTTTCGCTCTACAACCATGCTACCATATAATGGGATCCTGTTTAGCCACAGACAGTGAGAAGAACTCAAAAAACAATTCGTAAAACCAAAATCTCTAAGCGACCTCATGCTTCACAAATTAAAAACACACCTACGAATATTAAAAGTCCAAATCCTTCGAATCCGAGTACGAGCAATCGAAGTCATGACAGAATGGCGACGAGCAATCGAAGTCATGACAGAGTCTCGACTTGACGACTTATTCATCGCCACTACCAAGCTTGTTGTCTGTCATCTTTGTCTTTCTACCGATATACAAAACAATCCGATTAAATTTACCTACATTGACCTCTCAGTTAATTTTACTTCTCCTACGAATGTAGCCTTGTTAAGCCTCACATCACAAAATGCCCTGATTTTGTTGGTTTGAAGTCTGCATAAATCATTTTGTTTTGATTCGAAAAAAGTTGATTGTGAAATTGATAGAGGTGTTGCCTCGGAACTATGTTGTTCTTTTGGTTTTGAAATTCTTCATAGCTTGAATAGGTGTACCGTAGATGATCGACAATGTCGAAATCCATCGTTTTTGACCTTTTCATGGGCTTTGATCAATTGCTTCCTTTTTATTGTAAGTGTAACGTAAAGAAGGAGAAATTTATTCGACAGATGTGGACTCTGAAGCCAGGGGACACTTTCAGCGAACAACTTTTTCTACAGCCACTCCTGGTCCTCAGCACACTAGCGATGCTAACTCTCAGTCAAGCCCTCTGGAAATGCTAGATAAGAATAGTGAAAAAGCGAAGAAAACACGGAAGTCGGCATGTTTAGAGAGGTAGAAGGTCTTAAAAAAGTGGTAATTCAAGGGGATGGACGAGAGTGTGACGGCAATGGTTGCATGGGGTGGGTATTTGGACGACTGTTCAATTGTGTGTGTGTGTGTGTGTGTGTGTGTGTGTGTGTGTGTGTGTGTGACATCATTAACTGGCTACGGTAAGCCGCCTGCGTGCGACGTGTGCGTCCCGGCGCGAATCGTGCAACCTCTACAGCCTTCACAACGCGTGAGAACTCGCTCGCCTTGGGTGTGTACGTCGGCTAAGCCGGTTTCGAGGCCTTTACTATGCCCTACCTAAGCCGCTTTTCTAGCGTCCTTTGTGCTGTCCGTTGAGGTCACATGTTCATCCTAGAGAATTTCTCAAACCCATTTTTATCGTGAGCTGTGCCTTTGAAGTAATTGTAGTTCAAAATATCGGGTAGTGCGGAGAGTATTTCAATTTCAGATTTCTCCCAGAATTTTCTGGAAGCTGTTTCTGCGGGGTTCCTTTGTCACCCATACGTACACGCATACCATATCCGGCTGATATTCCTTGTTTGTCGAACATGTAATGACCGAATCCGACCACTCCGCTGCTGTACCTATTGAATCCCCTTGCCTGAAACCTGACATCTGAGTGGTTCTGCTCATAGTTCGTTAGAACGCTTAACATCTGACTAAGGATGGTCGAAAGTGATGCTCGGTCTGATTGTTGCGATATCACGGAGTCTCTTGATATCGTTTTTCGCATGGAATGATTAGATTCTCTTTGAAGCATCTCTGTGGAAGCTTCTAGAGAACCCGGAACGAATCGAGACAATCGTGAAATTTTAGGCAGATACTTCCCCCGCAACCTATTAGTGAACTGGCTTACCGAACTTCTGAATCAAGACAATCAATTGCTGATGATCGATGGAGAGTTTCAGTGCAAATGGTACCGGCTCTTTTTTTTCTCAGCCCATGCACTCTTAGTGATTCGTTACTTTTATATCATTGGTCAATGATGAGAAAGCAGAGAATCTTATCCCTTTTAAAGGTTCTGCATGTGGATATGTCAGTCCTTATACTACTATGACCTCAGTAATGGTCACGAAAGGTGGAAAGAGAACATAGAGCTCGTAATCACGGACTGCCCCGAGTATGCAGTTTCGAGGTGGGACGTTTTCCATGGATTTGATAGCAATGTATAGCAAAGGAGTTTGTGGAAGATGCCTAATTTAAGAATCTCTGATCGAAAAGTAATCGGTGAGGGTCATCAGCTGCTTACTTATGCTTGAAAACGTTTCTTACCAGTAGCGAAGGAATATAAATAGTACTCGGCAGGGCTCAACATCAGTTACAATAAAAAACTGTATTTCCTTGGCGTATGAAACGTTCCTATGTACCGTTATGGACCCTCCGCTAGATGTTTGAAAAGAGCGGAAGCCTCCCCCGTTTTCACTAATGTTCCTTGTAATGACTTTCACTCAACTTCTAATTTTTTCTTCTTTCAAACTCTCAAACAATCCATTATGAAATACCCCGCACGTCTGATAATAAGCTATCACACTGTTTAAAGGGACTTGCTTTCCCCTCCCTCTGCGTTCGGTAGAGGGAGCCTCTGCAACGATATTCTCCTTTTTCGAATTCGCTTCTAGGTTATTTCGCTTAATGCTGAAGGAAGATGAATATTTCGTAGTGGGTGTATTATGTACGTATTGATTTGATCGGTTCGAGCTACGTACCGCAATGAAAGTGCAATGTTACTCTCCCCTGCACGACGGTAACCTCTTTTAAAAATGGCTCTAACTAAGGAGCGTAGCTTTCATACCTGGCGAGAGCAACAACATATTGGAATGCTAACTTCACTCTTTAAACAACCATGATAGCCCCAAAAACCTTTTCTACAGTGATTCCACCACGAGATCAGTGATCTCTTTTAAATCGATCACCATGTCGGAAATTTTCTCATTTTTTGAATGTACATTCTCGTCATGACTTCAATTGCTCAGGAACTTGCATTCGATTTCGTTGGGTACAGTTAGATGCCTTTGAAAATCCTCCAGCACTGACGAATGGAAGTGAATTGTGAGGTACTATTATTTTTCAAATCTTCTGTGCCATACAGGTTTTTAATGGTGAAACCTTTATTCGCCTGACGTTTCGACTATCTCGTCGTTATCGAAGGCCTGAAAGCGTATCGCAACTTTATAGCGTTACCTATCACGCTTGACGTAGACCAGCTCTTAACTAGTTGCAACTCAGGCTGATGAATTTACAACTAATAAGAAACTCCGATAAGTCACTCACGTCGATTCCACCAATACCGAACAGTAGACTGTTGAGCAACTGTTCGGTATTGGTGGAATCGACGTGAGTGACTTATCGGAGTTTCTTATTAGTTGTAAATTCATCAGCCTGAGTTGCAACTAGTTAAGAGCTGGTCTACGTCAAGCGTGATAGGTAACGCTATAAAGTTGCGATACGCTTTCAGGCCTTCGATAACGAAGAGATAGTCGAAACGTCAGGCGAATAAAGGTTTCACCATTAAAAACCTGTATGGCACAGAAGATTTGAAAAATAATAGTACAAATGCCCAG